TTTAAAAAAATCATAGCGATTTTCGTATGACTGTTTCTGGCAATGGGAGAACTTTTTCCATAGAAATCTCAAAAAGTCAACAAATGAATGAGAGAAGGAAAGGAATAGAGAGAGGAGAGAGAGTGAAAGACAGACAGCTTAAAAAATTATAGGAATTTTCTTATTACTGCTTCTGGCAATAGAAGGGCTTTTTTCAAACAGAAATCCCAAAAAAGTCAACAAATAAAGAGTTAACATTATCAGAAAATACACCGCTTCGGTCTGTTTCTGAAAAAAAAAATTTTTTTCCTAGGCAGGCTGCTAAAAAAATCGACACTTGCACTAAGAAAAAATCTCATCTATCCGTTTTCATCCCAGTTTCTTATACAATCCATGGATTTTGACAATCTTGACCTTAATCCTTCGGGCTCATGGTTTTTCTTCTCACGGACTTCCTTCAATGTCAAGCGTTATGGGACTTTTCCTTTCTTCCCCCCTCCCACAGTATACAATTTTTACAATTTCCTGGAAAAGCGCATTGTCCAAGTTAATGCGCTTGAGACATTGACCTACAATTGTCGACTTTTATGTTTATTACGATAAAAAAAGTCTTCGTCCAGGAAGAGTCTGAAGTCTGAACCAATGGGTTTCGTGTTGTCGACCTTCATTAGAATTTCCGTTAAAAAAAATTTTTTTCCCTAGAAACAGGCTGTACTAAAAGAATTTCTAATAATATTGCCCTTTTTGTTGAAGTTTTTTTAGGCTTTTAAGATCATCTCTCTCTCTCTTTTTCCCTCAATGTCTGTCGCTCTCTCTCTCTCTCTCTTTACTCTCTCTGTCTGTCGCTCTCACTATCTCTCTTTCTTTCTCTCTCACTGTCTGACGCTATCTCTCTCTTTTTTTCTTTCTCTCTCTCTCCCTCTCTCTCGCTTTCTTACTCTCTCTGTCTGTCGCTCTCACTCTCTCCCTTTCTTCCTCTTTCACTGTCTGTCGCTCTCTCTCTCCCTCTCTTTGTCATTTTTTGTTCTGTCACTGTTCATCCTTGAATGTAACACTTAACCTCGTGTTCTTCCTTTTCCGTCAAAAGAGTATATCCAAGGGTTTAATTACCCATCGGGAAAGTCCTTACGTCCTTCTCATCAAGACAACAGTCTTTCAGACTGGAATTGCGGCAGGGGGGACCGCGACGTCTCGCTTTGTTAATCCCTCGATGATCATCGATCACGCGGCGTCTTTTGCGAGTTCGTTCAACCCAAGGGTTCGAATATTCGTTTTCTTCTGTCCTAACGGTCCTTACAAAGTGCTCCCGGGTTCAACCAAGTAATCTTTCAATCAATCCAATCCTAACCTCGGGAATTGGGTTATTCAAGAGCACATTTTTTCCCCCAATGTAAGACGTTTAAAAAAAAAGTTGTGCAACAAAGCAAGACAGGCTTGATTTGACCCAACCGGATTTACTGGTGCGGAACCGTCGTACGCCGTGCCGAACATACTTTAATTACACAATAAAACACTTTAAATGTGTATTTAAAAGATAAACTTTATTGGACAAAAAAATAATGGAAAGAGTCAAGACCAAGCTGAACTGTTTTTAAAATTCTATATGAAAAGACATTTACAATAAGAGAACATTTTACTTTCTTTGACGGATAATGATATACAACAGGAGAAAAAATCTTATAGAAAGAAAAAACAAACTTTATTTGACAAATAAGAAGGCTAAAAACATCACGCCTTCTTCATATAGTTTTTTGTTGTATTGTTCTATTGATTATTAAACAGAGACAATGGACCCTATGATAAAGCGGTAAAAGATTTGAAATATGACCAAAAGCCCAAAGGGAAAACGAAAAAAAAATGAAGGGAAGTTTGTAAAGAGAAGTTACATTAAAAGATTTTACTTCTATCTCTTCTTTTTTTAATATTGTTGTTTTTCTACTGTTTAACGAACGGCGATAACCCGCCCATTTATGAGCGTTAAAAGAATTTAGGCATAACCAAAAAAATTTAAGCGAAAATGCAACAAATGTCAGTTTTTTCGTGAAACCCCATTCTACCCCCCACTCTTCCACTTTTAATCCTTAAAAAAAGAAGACGGGAAGTTTGTAAAATAGAAGTTACATTCAAAGATATTTTATAGAATATCTTTTACTTATTGATTATAACAGTGATGAGAAAAATAGAAATATAACCAAAAAGCCCTTGGTAAAAACGTAAATTTTTATCACAATTGCCTCCGTACCCCTCTCTTTCACGTTTACCCTCGCTTTTTCGTACTAGTTTTGTATATTTTTCTATCAATTACAAAACAACAATACCTGACCGTCAAAATAATGGTAAATCAATAAAAATATAACAATAAAATCTAACATAAAAACATTAAAAGTATCATTTTTTTCGAGAACCTTCATTCTACCCCCACTCTTTCATTTTTGTTTATCTTTTTGATATTACGTTTGTGTGTACTTCTACTGCGTATTTTACAACTAATCTATCAAAACAAGTTCCAATTCCTTTATATTAAAAATTAAACCAATGGAAAATGTCAAAAATATCAATTTTTATCCGAACTGCCTCCATACCCCCTCTCTTTCACGTTTACCCTCTCTTTTTCGTATTATTTTTGTATATTTTTCTATCAAATATAAAACAACAATATCTGACCGTCAAAATAATGGTAAATCAATAAAAATATAACAATAACATCTAACATAAAAACGTTAAAAGTACCAATTCTTTTTCGAGAACCTTCATTCTACCCCCACTCTTTCATTTATATTAATCTTTTTGATATTATATTTGTGTGTATTTCTACTGGGTATCACACAACTAATCTATAAAAAGAAGTTCCAATTCCTTTATATTACGAATTAAAATAACGGAAAAAGCTAAAATGTCAATTTTTGTTGAGAACTGTTGCCTACTACCTAAATTTTTTATTAAAAATGTAATGAGTAAAAATTTAGTTTTAAGAAGAATAGGACAATACAGTGCTAATAACTGTAAACACAAAGGAATTAAGAATATATTTAGTACTTAAAATTAAATGTAATTCAGGGTTGGGATTTTGAGTCCGGTTTTCTTAACATTTCAGCTGTAAGACATTTTATATTCTTTATTTATTTAAGTCGAGAGGTAATGTACCTGGTACTATTGTTTCTAACTTGTCAGTATTTATCAGTATACATGTATATGGACGGTAAATAAATAATTTTGACTTTTCACTGAAAACTTTTTATACGTAATCTATACTTCTAAACTGTCTTTTCATGTCGAATTGTCTGTTTAGCCAACCCCCCGATAAAATTTGTCTTCCTTCTGTAAAGTGTCATTTGGTTTCAACCTTGTTTATGTGTATAACGTCATTTTTTATCTCTGTAAACGTTTTGTTTACCCTAAACGTAAGATTAATTAATTTTACTGAAGATTCTTTTCACCTGTCAAGAATTTTTATACGTAATTTATACATCTAAACTGTGTTTTCATGTCGAATTGTCTGTTTAGCCAACCCCCGGATAGAATTTGTGTTCCTTCTGTAAAATGTCATTTGGTTACAACCTTGTTTATGTGAATAAAGTCATTTTTTCCCTCTGTAAACGTTTTGTTTACCCTAAACGTAAGATTAATTAATTTTACTGAAGATTCTTTTCACCTGTCAAGAATTTTTATACGTAATTTATACATCTAAACTGTCTTTTCATGTCGAATTGTCAGTTTAGCCAACCCCCGGATAGAATTTGTCTTCCTTCCGTAAAGTGTCATTTGGTTTCAACCTTGTTTATGTGAATAAAGTCATTTTTTCCCTCTGTAAACGTTTTGTTTACCCGAAACGTAAAATTAATTAATTTTACTGAAGATTCTTTTCACCTGTCAAGACTTTTTATACGTAATTTACACATCTAAACTGTCTTTTCATGTCGAATTGTCTGTTTAGCCTGCTTCGGTATACAATTTGTGTTCCTTTTGTAAAGTGTCATTCGGTTTCAACCTTGTCTTTCCCAATGAAGCCTTGTTTTTCCTGTTTTTTAACGATTTGTCTACCCGAAACGTGGGATTAATTAAATCAACTGAAGATTCTTTTCACCTGTCAAGACTTTTTATACGTAATTTACACATCTAAACTGTCTTTTCATGTCGAATTGTCAGTTTAGCCAACCCCCGGATAGAATTTGTGTTCCTTCTGTAAAGTGTCATTTGGTTTCAACCTTGTTTATGTGAATAAAGCCATTTTTTTCCATCTGAACACGTTATGTTTACCCGAAACGTAAGATTAATTAATTTAACTGAAGATTCTTTTCACCTGTCAAGACTTTTTATACATAATTTACACATCTAAACTGTCTTTTCATGTCGAATTGTCTGTTTAGCCAACCCCCGGATAGAATTTGTCTTCCTTCTGTAAAGTGTCATTTGGTTACAACCTTGTCTTTCCCAATGAAGCCTTGTTTTTCCTGTTTTTAACGATTTGTGTACCCGAAACGTTGGATTAATTAATTTAACTGAAGATTCTTTTCACCTGTCAAGACTTTTTATACGTAATTTACACTTCCAAACTGTCTTTTCATGTCGAATTGTCTGTTTAGCCTGCTTCGGTATACAATTTGTGTTCCTTCTGTAAAATGTCATTTGGTTACAACCTTGCCTTCGCTAATGAAGCCTTGTTTTTCCTGTTTTTAACGATTTGTTTACTCGAAACGTACAATTAAACAATCTAGTTGAACTTTTCACCTGACAAGGCTTTTTCCACGTGTAAACTGTCTTTTCATTTCGAATAGTCTATTTAGCCCCCAGTTGTTTGTAAAGTTTTTTTTTTATCGTGTAGTTAAAAGTTAAGCTCGCGAAGTACCAAACTTGTATGAGCATTGCTGTACAGAACCTGTCAATGTAAAAAAAAATCATTCTTTCGTCTACATCAATTCGCCGTATCTCCAATCCAATGTTAAATCCTAGTATTTTTAACCTCATGTTTAACTTTGCTATAAACTTAGACTTAAAAGAGTGGGACATATGGAGGTACTTACCAAGCTGCCCAGGAGGGCCAAGGCCTTCAGCAGAACTCGACACTCGCTCGTATCCATTTCCAAAAAGACACTACACAGACGTTGACATCACGTCTGACACTTGTGGGCCCGTTCTGTCGGGTTGTTTTTCTTTTCGGGGTTTAAGATTTATTTGACACGAAAGTCCTCGACGGACGTCTGAACTTCACTGAATGACTGAAACTGGAAGTCCCAGGTGGAAAAGAGGGGACCGAAGGTCTTGACGGAACGCGTGGGGGGAGGACGAAGGTGGCCGAAGGTCCTCGATAGCACCACCAACAGGCCTAGGTGGTAAACGGATCGCGACTACTAATCGCAAAAAAACAATACAACCAAAAAAGACAAAAGGTAGGAAATAAAGAAAAAAATATTAAAATCCGTTTACAATCGAATTTAAAAAAATATAAATAAATAGTTAACAGGAGAAAATACACACGGTGGAAAGGCCACCATTGAAAATAATATTAAATATGTTATAAACTGTATTAAAAAAATAAAACCCATCCAAACGTTTTAACGGGAAAGCATTTTATCAAAAAAAGACTAAATTTAGTACTCAGAGTTAAACAAGGTCAAAGAGGCAGTGGCGGCTAGCAGTACCAAGCATGTGTCAGTCGTAGAAAAATGACCGTTACGCTCCCTTCACGTGGCCCAGCAGTCGCGATTTCTTCATCATATTCTAATGATTCAGCAGTGAAAATCATCTATGATTAGATGAATCGTAATGTTTGACAGCAACGCGAGCAGTGTGGCCGTTTTATCGGGGGGACTGGTCGGATGTAGATATTTTTGGTTAGAAAATCGATTTCTGCTCGTGGAAGCATTGCGGGTTGTTTTCTCTCCATTAGGAAAAAAAAAAAGGCTTGTTTGATGAAAGGCTGAATACGCATCGAATGGTTTTAATTCAACATCTATCCGTTCTCCACTTGTTAAAAGTGTTGAGACTTTTCGTAACATACACCGAAAATACTTATCGAACTGTTCTCCACTTGTTAAAAGTGTTGAGAGTAATTCAATTCTGTTGTAACATACACTGAAAGGTTTACAATATAACATCAAATTCTCCACTTGTTAAAAGTGTTGAGAGTACTTTAATTCTGTTGTAACATACACTGAAAGGTTTACAATATAACATCAAATTCTCCACTTGTTTAAAGTGTTGAGACTTCTGTTGTAACATACATCGAAAGGTTTACATACTTCATCGAACAGTTCTCCACTTGTTAAAAGTGTTGAGAGTACTTTAATTCTATTGTAACATACACCGAAAGGTTTACATACTTCATCGAACAGTTCTCCACTTGTTAAAAGTGTTGAGAGTAATTCAATTCTGTTGTAACATACACCGAAAAGTTTACAATCCTTGTCAAGCTGTTCTCCACTTGTTAAAAGTGTTGAGAGTACTTTAATTCTGTTGTAACGTACACGAAAGGTTTACAATACATCATCAAGTTCTCCACTTGTTTAAGGTGTTGAGACTTCTTGTTGTAGCATACACCGAAAGGTTTACATACTTCATCGAACAGTTCTCCGCTTGTTAAAAGTGTTGAGAGTACTTTAATTCTGTTGTAACATACACCGAAAGGTTTACATACTTCATCGAACAGTTCTCCACTTGTTAAAAGTGTTGAGAGTAATTCAATTCTGTTGTAACGTTCACCGAAAGGTTTACAATACAACATCAAGTTCTCCCCTTGTTTAAGGTGTTGAGACTTCTTGTTGCAACATACACCGAAAAGATTACAATGCATGTCAAATTGTTCTCCACTTGTTAAAAGTGTTGAGAGTATTTTAATTATGTTGTAACATACACCAAAAGATTTACAATACTTCACCAAACAGTTCTCCGTTTGTTAAAAGTGTTGAGATTGGACAAGTCTGATTTTACAAGTATGGAAGGCTTGCACTGAACCTTTCTCAAGTTATAGTAGATGATGGGGTTTGGTCTGCGAGTTGGCGAACTCATGTTGAACCGGCACACGGGCACTACTGGGTCTGTCTTCACTCGCGGGTTTCTTCTTTCTTCTGGGTCTTTCTCAAGTTGTTTAAAGTGCAGAGATATATTACATGCATCAAAGCCTTAAATACATCAAACCGTTCTATACTTAAACAAAAAGAAAAATTGGTTTTAATTTTAGCCTGTTTCTCAAGCATCAAAACGGTTAAAAAAACATTAAACTATTTTCCACTTGAAAAAAAAAAAAAAAAAAAGTGGTGAGATTAATCTAATCCTGTTTAAGCATTGAAAGGTTAAATTGAACAGTTTTGAATCAAATTTTGAATTTGATTTAAATCTGTTTATCCAAGCATAGAAGGCTAAAAATTAAACATCAGTCTTATCTAGTATCAAGTATAGTATCTAATCTAGTATAGTAGTATCAAGTACTAGTTACTTTTTTAATATTTTTTAAAATAAATTTAATAATGAAATTTTGAATGGCTCCGACCCACACTGTAAAGCATTTAGAACATGAGACATTACTTATAATGTTTTGATATTGATAAAGATTGAACTTTAAATTTGTCTCGGAACTTTTGTGCTTAGCTTGTGCTTTAAAGTTCCGAGGACTTTTGATAAGACGCACTGAACGTCACTTGATGAATCTCAACAAAATAAAAATTAAAATTAATATTTAATTACTAAATTAAAAGCAAAACTTGCCTCATCCTTTTCATCAATTATAGAAGGGAAGATTACATTTTTTAAAACAAAAACCAATATAGATATTCTTGGTAATCATCATTCTTGAGTGCTTTCAATTTATCTAAGTTGAATTTAGAAATTTAAAAAAAATTCTAAATCAATTCAAGAAACTTGAGAGTTTTGAAAACTCCGTTTAGAAAAAGCATTGAACAAGGTTGAATCTTCTAGTGTTTAAAACATGCCCCTACAAAGTCCCTCCCTGGGTTGAAAAGTCTTAAATTTTTTGAACATATTTATTTGGCGCTTTCATAAACTAAGAAATTCTCATGGAAACATGAATTCCACCTCCACTTAGTAAAGTGTTGAGATCATCCGAAGTGTAATTTCTTCTTTGTCAAAGCTTCGTTGTTTAAAAACTTCAACAAATGACCTCTCTTTTTTGAAAGAAAGTATCCAATTTTTCGAGGCCTTTTGTGATACCCCAGTGCTTTCAAGTTTGGTGGGCTACATGATTGAATAAAAATCCTACATTAGATCGCCCCTCTTGACTTGAAAGCTCCAGGAATTTAACACTTAGAAACTTACAATGTTTTTACATTTATTATTATATATTTTTATTTCATAAAACAAAAATATTAATTTCAATATAAATTGCCAAGTATTTTGTGTATTTCTAATCCTGCACTTTTATTTCTTTATTTTAGATCAGTTTATTTTCAACTTCATGATCATAAAGGTATTGGTTGACCCTTTCGTCCATCATACTAGTAGTCGACTGCCCACTGATACAAGTACCTTACCATTTTCAAACTATTAAAATAAAAAGTCAATATTTTTAGTGGCTGCTTGGGCAAAAAAATACACCAAACCCTAATTGTTATGGACAAAGGATATTTTTTTAAAAGAATTTTCGATATTTGTGTTGTGCTTGTTAATCAAATCTCATCATCAGCGCTTGATGAAAAGGGTATTTTAAAGCTGACAGTCCACCTATATGGTCGTTAAAAATATTTGTCCAATAGGTCAGTCTTTAAGAGATTATATTAAAATGTAAAAATATTATATTGACTTATTGTATAATCATATTTGATCATTGATCATAAGTGGTCCAGTGATGTGATAATAAAGATGATTCGATAGACTGCGGAAATTGTCTTACAGTGATTCTTCTAATAAACACCTAATTTGAATGAAGAAAATTTAATTAAAATTTTATCTACGGGCAAATTTACAATTCCGGTTAAAACATAAATCATAGGGTGAATTTGTATAAATACCTCCAATTCATGATCCAACTGGGTTCTGTGTAAACGCGCTCGTCTTGAGTATAAGAATGAACCAGGACTTATCAAAATGCACCACAGCTACCGATTTTTTCGGTATGCTAAAGATGACTCATCATAAGAAGAACATGGGCGAGGATGCCTGAAATGAAATGAGCTTCATGATCTGACATGTTTTCAAACTTGGCTTATCACTCAAACTGACAATTTATTTATAAATCTTCAATTTTCTAGGATTGATAATTCCTTAAAATTGAGAATTTAATCAATATCGTTTGTAAACACAAGCATTAAGTTGTTTGAATCTGCATTGTGGTTTAAAGGCAATATTTTTTGTTCCAATGCCTTCTTGATTGGTGTGATTTACTCACTTTATAATCTTTGATTTAAAAAATCAAAATAAAAAAAAATCGAAGGGTTATTATTAACTAATCTTAAAATCCTGGCTTAACGATGCCGATTCAGCTGTATGGAAGACCTAAGGAACAGGATAATCACATCTACCTTAGGTAGAGCGACTATCCGGGCTAAGATAGCCAGGGGATGCCTTCAAGGGGGTGTTCTCTCACCTCTACTGTGGATAATGCTCTACAAATGTTGGAACAAGAAAGATTCTTCTACCTAGGCTATGCGGATGACCTTGCTGTAGTAGTAAAATGCCATTATGCGAACATAGTGATGGGTCTTATATACGAGCCCTCAATCATGGTGGTGCAAAATCTGCTATCTATCAACCCCCACAAAACCATAATGATTCCATTCACAAGGAAGAGTTCAACAGGAAGCTAAAAAACTCCATGTTTAAACGGGACTCTGATCCCATTTTCCGAGGAGGCCAAATATCTAGGGTTTACACTAGATCAGCGTCTCACATGGAATTCCCATCTAACTAAAACTACCCAGAGAGCCAAAATTGCCTGGGGGAGGTGCTCTGTGCCAAGAACTGTAGTCTAAACCTCAAAATGACTCTATAGCTACCCCTACACCTGCATCCTAAGATCAATGTTGACATATGGGTCGGTGGTGTGGTGGACCCAGACTCTTCAGGCCAACACAATAAGGCTCTTAATGGAAGATAACCATCTTTTCTGACAATCAGCAGCACGGCCCTAGCCTCATTGAAGTGTGAAGGTAAAGAGTGTTTGAAACTGCATGGAGGCCCTGAGGAAGTCAGCGAGACTAATGGCCTGATCTTGGTAGGTAGGATCCCTGGCCACTCGGGGCCTGGAGGTAACGAAAAGGTTGACACGTAGGCCAAAAAGGAGGCCAACATGGACTCTCTGGGTCCACCGTACTGTGGCTGAGCATCCTGTCATAAAAGAGGATACATCTTAAAATGGATCCTTTATGAGTCCAAAACCTGGTAGAATAATACCACAGGTATGAGGCAGGCGAAGATTTTCATAGAAGGACTTTCCGCAAAACTTATTGGGTTGTCCGGAAAATAATGCAGGATTTTGGTATTAAACAAAAAAAAAGAAACTAGTTACTTTAAAGCAATGTTCTTTAATCAAAATAATTTCCCATACTCTCAATACATTTCTCCCAACGTGTTGGTAACTTATTAATTCCGTCTGAGTAGAATTCAGAATTTTTAGAATTGATAAAGTCAATAAATGCATTTTCCAGTTCCGTTTGATTTTTGAATATTATGTGTTCTAAGTAGTGGTCCAGGTGTCTAAAAAAATGGTAGTCAGTAGGCGAGAGGTCCGGAGAGTAGGGTGGGTGAGGCAAAGTTTCATAGCCAAGCTCCAATAATTTTTGTGACGTTACACGTGACACATGTGGTCGAGCGTTGTCATGCAACAAAATGGGCCCTTTCCGATTGACCAAAGAGGGCTTCATTACTGCCAATTTCTGATGCATGGTATTAATTTGGTTACAGTATGATTCAGCATTGATGGTTTCGCCAGGATTTAAGAAGCTGTAGTGTATTAAACCAAATGAAGCCCACCATACCGTAACCATTACCTTTTTTTGATGAGTTGGGGGCTTTGGAAAATGTATTGGAGCTTCTCCTTTGTCGAGCCACTGTCCAGAACGTCTAGTGTTATCGTAGAGAATCCACTTTTCGTCACATGTAACAATTCTGGCCAGAAATGGGTCATTTTTGTTTCGACAAAGAAGTGATGCACAAACATCAAAGCGCTGATTTTTTTGGCGATCGTTTAATGAGTGTGGAACCCAATTTTCGAGTTTTTTCACTTTTCCAATCGCCTTGAGGTGGTCAGCGACGGTCGTTTTACTGACTTTGAGTTGCTCTGCACCCACCACTGATCGCAGAACATCATCATTAAGAGAGGAAGGCCTTCCACGACCTTCTTCATCTTCAAGGCTGAAATCTCCCTCCCGAAATTTTTTAAACCACCTTTGCACAGTGCACTCATTAACACAACCCTCGCCCCAGACTTGGTTAATGTTTCTAGCCGTTTGGGCTCCGCTTCGGCCGAGTTTAAACTCGTAAAAGAAAATCGTACGAAATTCTCGCTTTGACATTATAAGGATGACTGAATTATTTCCAAGTAGCGGAATGCTACAGAGGTAAACAAACAATATCATTTGGAAGAGGATTAATAAGTGTTGACATTCATACAAATGAGTAATCCTGTAAACGTAAACAGAATATTTTATATAGATTTTTTTTAATGAAAACTTAAAATCCTGCATTATTTTCCGGACAACCCAATACAAAAGAATTACTGGAAGGCAATCGTAACCGAACCAAGATTCTGGTTGGACTCCTAACAGGGCACTGCCACTTAAGAAAGTACATAGACCGGATAGGAGTACAGACAGAAGAAACACTGTGCAGATACTGCCAGGAAGAGGAGACCCAGAACACATTCTATGTTTCTGTGAGTGCAGGTTCTTGCAATTAGGACAAGAAAAACCACAAGCAAGATCCTACACTAAGGAGCCACTGGCAAAGCTATGGAGGCTGATTAACAACCTGAAGCTGGCCAGTGGGTTATAAATTAAAGGGAAGCACAATAGATCTAATTAGGTCGAGGTGCAGTAGGCCTTGTGGCCACCTCTTTTATCCCTATCCCCCAATTCCTAGAAGTGTGGTGGAATGTAGACAGGATTTTTGAATCTCAGTGCCTTCTAGATTTCAAATCAGCCAAAGTGATTCTAATTCCCATCCTACTCTTTAAGTTGTTTGAATCTACTTGGTGGATTGAAGGCAAGATTTTTGTTCCAGTGGCTTCTTTATTGATGTGATTTACATACACGAATGAGGACAGGATTTTTGAATTTCAGTGCCTTCTTGATTGCAAAACTGGAAGTGCTACCGGCCAAAGTGAATCTTATTCCCATCTCACTCTTTAACTTTAATTTTTTTTTAATAGAACACTTAAGTAATTGAGGTTAATCGATTATTACAATGTCCAAATCAAGGTCAATTTGAATACTTTAGGCTTAGCTTTGGCGGGGGTTGCAGGCTTGCAGGTTATTTTTAGTCCTGGCGTTTCAGCGTCACAGAAAATGGCAGATAGGTGGCAAGGCGCAAGACGTCATTACCCACGTTTTACTTTTGGTGGGCGGTATATTTTGGTTTTGGGTTTTCCTACGGTTCATGGGGCGATTTTCCTCCCCCGCGCGAAGCTCCATTTGAAAATTAAACTAAATAAAGGGAACTAATTTTTTTAAAGTAGAAACCGTTTTTATTTAACCTGTTGTTTCCTTTATATNTATATATATATATATATTGTTCTGAGTGGTATAATTTTACATGAACAAAGTATATTTTTTTGGGATAGGGTAACAATCTTAAAGAAAAAACGTTAAACATCTAGATAATTTTTTTTTAAACCTATGCAACTAACATTTAACATATTTTGTCGTAAATTAACTCATTTTGTTTGTTTAATAACTCATTTATTTTAATTGGTTAACAGTGTTTTTTTAAAGGTTTTTTTATGGTTTTTAATTTTTTATACAACATTGGCTTTACATACAATTTTTTGTTTATTACTTTTTATTACTTTTTCATGTATACATATACATACATATATATTTATAGTGATAGTTTCCACATCGTTTATACATTGCTACAGTATTTTTTCTTTCTCCCCCCTCCCCTCAAAAAAATACAAGGACATTTTTAAGTTTTCTTCTTTTTTTAATTTGGAGGAGGGGGTGGTAAAATTTACACTTTAATATACATTCAGAGGTAGAAGGGAGAAAGGGCGGTGTGAAAGGGCATTTGGAGGGGGGGCTGGCGAGGGAAAATAGAGGCAGGCTGGTTTAATAATTTAAAAAAAAATTAAAAACTAAATTCTCCCCTGCATATTTACAATATACACGTAGTTAATTAACCCCTTGCCTTAAAAAACTTTTTTTTTCTGAAATTTTATAACATAATCTATAAGTAAATGAATATAAAATCCCATCAGATATGTGCGAAAGTATGTAATGAAAGGTCTTCTCATATATTCCATAAATTTTGTAGGGTGTTGCCTTAATTGTTTATAAAAATTATGAAATGTTCCAAATGTTCGTTGCTGTTGTCGAAACTCCCGCTATAAACTGCGTATCATTGAAATGGATTTTGCGCTGCTCTTATGATTTATCGTTCCAACATAAACGTACCCAAAAGAACTACGAGTAATTGGCAGAGATAAAATCTGGAGTTAAGAGAAAAAAAAATTAGCCCTACTTAACTCGGGATAATAATTGAAAATTGCGTTTAAAACGAGTTATCTCGTGATAATAAGGCAGGGGGTTAATAATAAATTCAAAAAAAGAAAAAACAATTCCCGCGCGGCTACTTGGAGTGGGGAAGAGATAGTTGAGAGATACTCCCCCTCTCCTCCGCCTAAGGAGCAACATCTCCTTGGAGTGGGGGAAGAGAATCTCACCTCTCCTCCAGCCATTGCGCGATATCTACTTGTAGTGGTGGGAGAGATCTTGTCCCTCTCCTCCGGATATGACGTAGCAACCGTTGAGAGGGGGAAGAGATCCTCTACCTATTCGGCTTGTAGTTTGGGCGAGTTACGGTTTTTTTGGGACATTCTTTTGTTTTCGCTTTGAATTCGTAAAAGTTGATCCCCCGATTTGTTCCCCTCGTGGATTGATTCGGAAAAGCCGGCCCCGTCTAGAAAATTGTCAGGAGCTGAGAAAAAAATAATTCCAAATTGAAAAAATAAATTTCGAAAGCTTTGTTTACGCGTGTAATCCCCCCTCCCCTAAAAATGACAATCAAACAAGATTTTTTTCCCTCCTTTATGAAAGTCTACATTTACACACATATACATTACAATTATATCCACAACTTCACAATATATAACTTTTTTAATTTTTTTTCTTTTATATGTATAATTTTTTGGGTTCCTCGTGAAAGAATTTTTTACACAAGTATTCCTCTTCAAAAGTACGTGCCGTTTGGTTGGAGGGGGTTAGAAAAAAAAAAGTTTCAACATGATCTCTTGTACATTGGTGGGCGGCTGAAGGAGGGTGGTGCATGGCATTTTTTCGACTAAAATAAATGTTTCATATTAATTATTTTTCTCAGGTGTGTCTTTATTGTCCCGGAAAACGGGTGGCACTGTCATTTTTATTATTTTTTCTTTAAATTCTTTATTTTTTTAATCAAATTACCTGCCTGTTTATTGTCTCTCGTTGACACAGAGAAAAGTACCTTTCAAAAACAACATAAAAAAAATTACAGAGAAAGAGAAAAACATCTCCCCCCACCCAAAAAAATAAAAAAATAAAAATTGATATGTCCGATTCACGCGGAAATAAATGACTTCCCCCATGGGATATTTTTCTGAATTTTTGTGCCTTTAATAAAATGATAAACCGTTTTTTCAAACACCGTACCTGTAACAAAAATAAAAAAAAAAAACTAAAAAAAAACGGCGGCAGCTGCGGCGACAAATTTTGTAAAGTGGGAGGGGGGAAAAAACCGTTGTGCAGCAAGGCGAGGCGAGGCGAGGCGGACCCAATGGCGGCCTCAAACCACCACCACCTTCTTTAGCAGTTGCAGTTCGGGTTCGTATGACCCTGGGGGCCCTGCTCAGTTAGCCGTGTACCCTTCGCACCCGTCAGGAGGTTCGGGTCAGAGTCGAGGCTCTCCGACATTTTGTCGCATATTATGTCGACCAACCTTTCAAAAACGGCCTGAAAAAAAAACAAAAAAACATTTTTGAAATAATAAAAACATAATTAAGCATAACCTTAATGGTTGAAACATCCAGCAATTCATCATAATAAGAATGTGTTACTATCGACACATAAATTGTTGGTAACATAACCTTAAAGTTGGAAACCAACTATTTAATAAAATTAGTTTTTAACCTACAATAGGTTATAATATGTATGAATATCATAACCTTAAAGTGTGAAACTTCCAGGCATTTTTTATAAAATATTTTTTATAAGATATTATTGTGCTATCATGACTTTCTTTACTGGAACATAACAATGGTTGAAACATCCAGCAATTAACCATAATAAGGTTATGTTACTATGGTAATATAAATTAATGGTAACATAACCTTAAAGTTGGAAACCAATTAAACGTTTTATAAAAAGAATTGGTTTTTAACCTACAGTAGGTTGTAATATGTATGAGTACCAGAACCTTAAAGTGTGAAACCTCCAGGCAATTTTTTATAATATGAGCTTTTATTTTGCTATCATAGTCTTTTTCAATAAGATTCGGAATCTGTCCAATTATATAACCTTAAACTTTTTAGCGTATAGCTTTTGAAGTCTTTGGTGAGATTTTGTTACTTGTGTAGCTTATCGGTAACCTCTTATGTTTTTAACCTTCTTTTTTTTAATTGTACGCCAACATTCCACAAAATGCCAAATGAGACTGTGTAAATGTCGTCTAACCTGAACACTTGAAACCTTTAGTATTTCATTTTCTACTACTATCATAGTCGTTTTCAACAAGTTTGTGTTTTAAACTCATTATTTCGGAGATAACATAATCTTAAAGTTTGAAATCTGCCCAATTATAATATAACCTTACAGTTTTTAGCGTACAGCTTTTGAAGTCTTTTAGCGAGATTTTGTTACTTGTGTAGCTTATAGGTAACATAACCTCTATGTTTATAACCTTCCTTTTTTTTAATTGTACGCCAACATTCCACAAAATTCCAAATGAGTTTGTGCAACTAACAAATTGGCCAGATTAAGGTTGTGGTCCTAATATAAAGACAATTTATGAGCAACATAACCTTACAACTTCAGTTATCGGCATCATAGCCTGACGTGTTAAAAACCTACCTTTTAATCTGATGTACCGACATTTTTCACTTCGCACAGCTATTAAAGTTTTATTATCGGACGGATTGAAGTCGTGTTCAAGCACAAAATGACCCCAAGTTTAAAGCGTACCTTAACGTAGATGTTTTCTTTGGCGGACGTCTCGAAGAATTCGATGCCCAGCTGCTGTGCCAGCTGTTTCCCGCGTTCAACGGATATTACCCGCTCGTCTTCCATGTCGCATTTGTTCCCTACCAGGATGACCTGGGCGTTGTCCCACGAGTAAGTCTTAATTTGGGTAACCCTATGAGAAAAAAAAACGAACAGTTGTTAGTTGGTTGTTGGTTGTTTTTTGTCGTTTGTTTTTTACCAGTCTTGGACGCTGTTGAACGATTCTTCGTTCGTGATGTCGTACATGAGTATGAAGCCCATGGCACCGCGGTAGTACGCCGTTGTTATGGTCCTGTACCTCTCCTGGCCGGCGGTGTCCCAGATCTGAAGTTTCACCCGCTTATCGTTCCTGAAGACGGTCTTTACTTTGAAGTCGATCCCGACTGTCGAAACGAATGCGGACGTGAAGGAGTCGTCGGCGTAGCGGAATAGGAACGAGGTCTTGCCGACGGACGAGTTGCCGATGATGAGCAGCTTGAACATGTAGTCGAAATTCTGGTCCGCCGCGTCCTTCTGCCATTTTGGATCTCCCGACATCTGGCATAAAACAAAAGGAGAAACGTTAACCTACGTACCGGTAACATTTTGAAACATATCGACAGCTCAGGCATAACCTTGAAGTTAAAAGATTCTGATATGCTATTATAGGATAATCTTATTTAAAACCGACCCCCAATAGGAAACATACTAGCATAACATGAACAAGAAAATCATTAGATTTGCACCAATTTAGAAGGTTTAACGAAAGATTCCTTTCCATACAATCAGGCAGGTGTCTGACCTGCATTACGAAAATCTCAACCCAGGTTTATATTATATAACTTAATTGGGAATGTTTTCACTTTTATTGATGTTTTTTAAAGAATTTTATTACCGTTGTGTCAAAAGGCACAAAAATACTTTGAGCTTTTTCAATATTGATTTCTAACCACCGCTGCTGTGTAGCCCGGATTAAAATGATAGAAATAGGAGGAGTAGGATTTTGCATTGCTTGTCAATTTATGGCTTTTTTAATGGTTTTAATAGTCGGTTAAACCTTGTTTTGACACCTGGATCTAAAATATTTTGGCCGATTTTGATATCTTAGTTTTTTTGTATGTTTTGTTCAGGATCGTGCAAGTACAAACTAAGTCCGTCTCCACCAATCGTGAAATTGATCCCACATTTCAATTTCATTAATCATTACAGAATCAAATTGCCGGATGAAAGAAATGGATTTTTTATTGCAACCCTTCATAATGGAGGATGATGCGCGTGGTGTGACATTGCTGATAGTCGTTCCATCAGGTATGCGGCTATAGCCATCGGAGTTCGAGAAACTGGGTTCACCATAGAAGGCCCGGTTTTGGATGCCCTAGAGTAACAGAACCATAGGATGACAGTTTTATGACTTTGGGAATTTTGCGAAACCGGCACCTTACTGTTGTTCAAGCAATTCCTCAGCTCAAGGAAGTTCGAGGTGTCCGAAAGCATTGGTCGAAGAAGATTAAATCGGTATGGACTGATGGCTTTTCGCCCCGTAAGAGGACCAGAACACACAGAGTTGCACGGCTCGCACATTTGTTCGAGAACGCAGCCTTTTCATATCCTAAACCCTTATGTTTCCATAGGATTGTATTGCGACTGGCATTTTCGTGAAACGATCGGCCCCCGGTTTACAAAATGCTGGATAGACACCGATTTCTTGGCAATATTTTTCTGCAATGATAAACCAGGAAATTATAGTAAACATCCCCAGCAGTACACCACCAATCACCATAATCTTTTTTTTTTGTGTGTGCAGATTTGGTTTTGTAAAGTGTTTTGGCGCTTCACCCTTGTCCAACCGTTGACCTGTACGCCTTCAGTTATCGTACAGAATCCATGCATCAGGTGATGATTCGATCCGTGGATCATTTTGTGGCATAACAGAAGGGACGTGCAAATTTAAAAGAGTCGATTTCTTTGGGATTCGGTCAGTTCGTGAAGTACCAAATTGTCGAGTTTTTTTTAATACCAATTTACTCCAGATGGCGAACAACGGTTGAGTGGTCGACACTAAGCTCTTGCGCAATTTCCCGTGTTGTCTTACGTGAATCTTCAATTAACTGCTTTTGTTGGTCGTCGTCCACAACGGAAGGCCTACGCGACCTTCCCTGTCTTCGAGATCGAAATCTCCAAGAGGAAATCACCGAAACCGTGGCTGCACCGTGCATTCGCTAATGCTTCCCTCCCCCCAAAACTTCATTGACAGTTTGGGCCGTACTTCGCGCAAGTTTAAATTAGTACAAATAATATAAGTTAAACTGTTTAATATAAAAGATAACAGTTAAAAATATTTATTATAATCCATAAATTAGATTTGAGGATTTAGCTTTGTTTACGTGACAAGCACCTTCGAAAATAAAACAAATTTTCAACACAATACTGACTGTTAGAATTTGAATTAATCAAATGTAACTGTAAAATTTAATTATGAACAAAGCAACATAATAGATGAGTTTGCGGTTTAAATAAAATAAATTTAAAGGTAAATTGTAGGTCATACCGACCAGCTGTTCTAATTTGAAGGGAAAAGTCGATGTTATATTCGATCAGCTGTTCTAATTTAAAGGACAATTTGAAGTTACAATCAATCAGCTGTTCGAAATTAAAGGACAATTGGAAGTTATATTCGATTAGCTATTGGAAATTAAAGGACAATTGCAGATTATATCCGATTATCCATTCTAGTTTAAACGGAAAATACGAAGTTATAATCAATCAACTGTTCTAATTCAATATAGAATAGGAGGTTATATCGCTCAGCTGTTTTAATCTAAAGAACAATATGACATTATATACAATCAGCTAACTAACGTAAAATTAAGATTTGATCATTTAGCTTTGTTTACATGACAAGCACCTGCGAAAATAAAACAAAGTTTCAAAACCTGCATTAATTTTCCACCAACCCAACAAGTTTTTTGCAGTTTCACCTGAAAGTTGTCAGAAAATAGAAAAAAAAAAACAAATCCTTTTTTCATTATTGACCGATGAACCAGACAAAGTTTAATTGATATAAAAATCAATCGAGACAATCGGCAAGGCTGAAATTGGCCCTTCATGACATAACCTCACCATAGAAATGGTTTGAGATGGAGTCAGTGTGCCAGTTAACTTTTTGGAGAAGATAGTTCTCAGAAGAAGAATGGCGAACTAGAAGAACTAACTTCTGAGAGAAGAACTAACTATCTTAACGAAAAAAAGGACCCTTTCTATGTAGAAAAAGTGTTGGAAATTTGTCAAAACCTAAATTTTGAGGCTGCAGATGATATCGGCATTTGATTCCGTAAAATATTGTAATGGTTTCATCCATCAAGACAATTTGTGGGTGGTGAAATGGATCTTTTTTTATCAAAAATTTAACCTTACCAGTTGTTTTGATAGATTGATAGCTTTAAATATTAGAAGTGAAAAAAATCAAAACTTAATTTTTTTTACTCAGTTCAAGTTAAGTTTTGACTTTTGAGTTCAGTTTGACGATGGTATAAAATATAAAAAATTGGCCTTTTGATGAAGCAAAGACAATTAGCGTTTAATGGAATCACCTTACCAGTTATTACTTGTTTCAAATCGTTTATTAACTTAAAAGTCCAATTTAAAAAAAATTGTCAAAACGTTATTTTTAATCAATTTCGGTCAATGTTTTACTTACAATTTCTTGTAACATTAACTTGTAAAATGGAAATTAATCGAGATAATTCCTGAGCGGTTGAAATGGACCTTTTAAGGCATAGCCTTCCAAGTATTCAACAGTTATTTGTTTTAATCCGTTTTTTAACTAGAAAACTTGTAGATTATGAGATCGTTACTATTTCTGTCTCGGATGGCAGAATTGAAACTTGTTCGACATAACCTTGTCATAATTAAATTTTAATTGGTTCAAGAGGAAGGCATGGCCCCAACCTAGATTTTTAAAATTCCCCCAGCCCTCGATCAGCCTATGCACCTTTTTACAATGTTATTATATTTAACAAGAACAATGCAATTAATATTTTTAACCAGGTTGAAAAAAAGGCACTCTTGAATTTAGAAAAAAAAATTATATTTACCTCTTTAAGTATTTATTTAATAGCGAAAGCTCCTGGATCAAGGTATGGTCTTGAAGAAGAAAAAAGCAAATTTAGTTGTTAATGCCAAGCTTTTGAACTATTTTAAGGTCCTCAGAGCAAAATAACCTTAAATATAATTACAAACAATACAACAAACAGCTTAACTATTTAATTAGAAACAATTTATTTAATAGACTAATATTTCAACGATTGGCAATTTCTGTCTGGATGCAGAAATGAACCTTTTTTGACATAACCTTATAAGTTTGAAACAATTAGTTGTTTCAATCGACCGTTAACCGAATATATTCGTAAGAAATGTCAAAATTTTTTGACACAGTAATTATAATAGATTTTCTTTCCTATAAAAAAATAAGAAATAAAACCTCCTTTTTCAGAATATGGATGACACAAATGAAACTTTTTTGACATAACCTTATCAGTTTACGACAGATATTTCAATCGATTGTTGTTGGAAAGAAAATCTGTTAAGTATTTATAAATAGATTTTTTCTATAAGAAAATAAGAAATAAAGGCCTAATTTTTCAAAGAAATGAATGAAAAAAGAATCGAAACGAATTCTGGATTGCGCCAATGAGCTTTTTATGGTATAACCTTACTAGTTTGAAACAAATACTTGTTTCAATCAATCGTTAACCAAATATATTCGAAAGAAAATCTGTTAAATATTTATATAAATATATTTTTTTCCCCTATAAAAAATAATAAATAAGACCTCATTTTTCAAAGAAATGAATGAAAAGTGAATCGAGACGAATTCTGGATTGCGCCAATGACCTTCTATGATATAACCTTACCAGTTTAAAACAGTTAGTTATTTCAATCGATCGTTAATCGAATATATTTGAAACAAAATCTGTCAAAAATGTTTAAAACACTTTAGTTTAGATTTTTTTCGATAAAAAAATGAAGAAATAAAGATCTCAGTTTTCAGATGAATCAAAGACGAACGAACGTTTTTTTTAAATAACCTTATCAGTTTGCTATATTTACTGGTTATAATCGATTTTTAACTTGAAATAATAGAAGAAATTTTTTAATTGATTAAACTTCACTAATGTTTGATTTTGAATTGTTTTAACGTGGACAATTTCAGCTATTAATTTGAATTAAAATTCAATGAAAAGTGAATCGAGACGAATTCTGGATTGCTCCAATGACCTTCTATGATATAACCTTACCAGTTTAAAACAGTTAGTTATTTCAATCGATCGTTAATCGAATATATTTGAAACAAAATCTGTCAAAAATGTTTAAAACTCTTTAGTTTAGATTTTTTTTCGATAAAAAAATGAAGAAATAAAGATCTCAGTTTTCAGATGAATCAAAGACGAACGAACGTTTTTTTTAAATAACCTTATCAGTTTGCTATATTTACTGGTTATAATCGATTTTTAACTTGAAATAATAGAAGAAATTTTTTAATTGATTAAACTTCACTAATGTTTGATTTTGAATTGTTTTAACGTGGACAATTTCAGCTATTAATTTGAATTAAAATTCAATGAAAAGTGAATCGAGACGAATTCTGGATTGCACCAATGACCTTTTTATGTTATAACCTTACCAGTTTGAAACAGTTAATTGTTTCAATCGATCCATAACCTATTACATTAGAAATAATATCAGTCAAAACTTAATTTTTATTCAATTGAAGTTATGTTTTGACTTATTTTCGTTATGTTGTTATAACGAAATTGAAAAAATTGTCTGATAGGGGCAATTTCCGTTGGCTAAAATGGGCTTTTCCCCCGTCAGTATTAACCATTTGCAGCAACTATTTAAAAATCGATCGAAATCGGCCAGAATTGACAAAGCGACACGTCTAAATTCATATTTTATTTGGGATAAGAAAACGATGAGGTTTTTGTTCGTAATAAGGGTAGGCCTGAAAAGTGGGAAAAATGGATTTTCCACGTAACCTGACCGGTTTGGAACAGCCACGTACGGGGAGTTTTAATCAATGACCGGGCCCAAAGGGGGGCAAAGCCATCGGTTGGAATGAAAAAGCACGGGGAAAAATACATTAATATAAAATATATAAGCTTTTTTTAAGGCGTGGTTTGGTTATTACTTTTTTTGGGTTGGAATTAATTTGGGGTGGGGTTTTTTGTGAGCTGATCTCTCTTTTTTTCCTGGGGTGATTTTGGTCAAGAGAGATGAGAGTGTGGGTGGGTTTTTTTTTAAAGAGGAGCTTTTGTGTTTAGAAAGTTTGACTTTTTAGGTGGCACGCCCACTTTTGATTGTTTTTAGTTAGGTTGGTTTTTTTTTTTATAGTGGGAAGGGGTTTGAATTAAAGAATGGTTGTTTGGCTCACCTTTTTTTCCTTCTTTTATGTCTATCAGAGTTCACTTTTCTCACTAGTTTATTATGTATATAAAATTTTTATACAATATATATACAGTGTAAACCACTTTTCTCTTTAATATTGGGAAACTTTTTTTTTGGATCGCGTCGTGTTGCCGACTGTTATCCTTGACGCGGGGGTGAGTCGAACAAAACGTCCGGAGAGGGGCTATCCGCGGGCCTCCGGCCTACAAACGCTTCTCATTCAGCCGAAGGGGGTCGAACGGTGAGGGAAAGGCGACGCCGAGCGGACCCACCCCCCAAGATGACGTCACGTGAGCCGGGGCCCGTCCGCTGGTCCCATTGGCCCCTCGCGTCGCCCGCCCATGCGCCCAGATGCCCGGGCCCCGAGTGCCGGCACCACTAGGGTATTGATCCGGCCTTATGCCACCCCCCAAAACCAGACCTGTTTCTGGGACGCGTTGCCGACGGAAAAATAAACATTTTTGTTTGTTTAGATTTATTTATTTTTTTGAAGTTTTTCAATGCCCACTTAAAGAACAACCTCATAATCTCTTTGCTAACTAACACAAAAACATGAACCAAAAGTGGCTAATCCTTTCCATGTACTGGCTAATTCTGATGACCTACATTTCCCGAACGAAACTTTTTATCAATGTGATCGAACGACAGAGAGATCGTCTCTCTGTTAAGTTCTAATTCTAATTCTTCAAGTACTAAAGATCATACCCATACTAATATTGCAATCCTGTGCATTCTTAGAGAGAATGATCAATTAGTAATCATGCGTGTCGGCCTTCTTGGAATGAAATTGATCAATTACTAATCTCGTAAATTTCAAAAAGAACTCTCTAAAATAGCTGCAAATACCTAATTAACGATTGTTCCTCCGGGCCGGATTTTATATACCTGTCAACGATGTCCTTTCGCTTCAGGTGGAAGAAAACAACTATCGAAGGGTCAGAGGACTCGCAGCACAACTAAATGCAAGTGCAGCTAACGTGTCAAGACAATTAAGGAACACGGGAAAAATCAAAAAGCTTGATCTATGCGACAGCAGCAAAGCTCCTTCAGACATGCGTTTTGTTGCTCGCCAGACAAAAAAGACGAGCCTTTTCTCGATAGAACTTGCGATGAAAAATGAATTGTGTCGGTCAGGTCGATGGTTAATCATCGACGAAAGACCAGGACACATGCCAAAACCAAATTTACACAAAAAAATTATGGTGGTCCAAGGCTGGAAATTCACCAATCCTTTTTGTCTAGAGGTGAGACGAAAGAAAACTGACGAAATGCATAAAAAATCACTAAAAAAACAACCCGCATTGGTAAATCGGAAAGGTCCTATACTCCTCCACGACAACGCCAGGCCTTATGTTTCAAAACGTACTGTAAACAAATTGAAAGAGCTTGGTTACGAAGGCCTTCAGCATCCATCTTACTACCTTGCCTCCAACATATTTTCACTTGTTTAGGAATTTTGACAACTTCGTCGAAGGAAAATCTTTTAAAAATGGTGTGGTCCAAAAAGCGTTTTCAGATTTTGTTCCGTTTCAAACCTCAGAATGCTTCAGTTACGGCATAAAAACGTTGATCACGCGTTGGGAAAAATATGTAGAAAATGAAGGTAATTACTTCCAATAAAATGATTTTGATTTTATATAGGAATTTTACTAAGCATCTTCGCTTTCTTTTTTGTTTCCTTCAAATGAAACATCTGTTGTAACAAGCAGATATTTTGCGTAAAATAAAACGGCTGTTGTAAGATTTCGACATATTGCTTTATTAAAATAGCTGATCGAAGATAACTTCAAATTGTATTTTAAATTGAAACAGCTGATCGAACATATAAGTTCAAAAAGCTGATAGAACATAACCTCATATTATCTTAATTTAAACATCTGATCGCATGTAACCTCACATCCCACTTTAAATGAAACAGCTGTCGATATATATATATTTTTTTTTAAATAAAACAGCTGTCGTGAGATTAAAATAGCAATCGAATATAACTTCAAATTGTATTTTAAATTCAAACAGCTGATCAAACATAACCTCAAATTATCTTAATTTAAACATCTGATCGAATGTAACTGCACATTTCCCTTTAAACGAAACAGCTGTTGTAACATGTCAATACATATATTTTTTAAAATATAAAACAGCTGTTGTAAGATGTCGACATATTGCTTTATTAAAAAACCGATCGAATATAACTTCAAATTGCATTTTAAATTCAAACAGCTGATCGAACATATAAGTTCAAAAAGCTGATCGAACATAACCTCATATTATCTTAATTTAAACATCTGATCGCATGTAACCTCACATCCCCCTTTAAATGAAACAGCTGTTGTAACATGTCGGTATATATTTTTTAAAATATAAAACAGCTATTATGAGATGTCGACATATTGCTTTATTAAAAAACCGATCGAATATAACTTCAAATTGTATTTTAAATTCAAACAGCTGATCGAACTTAACCTCATATTATCTTAATTTAAACATCTGATCGCATGTAACCTCACACCTCACTTTAAATGGAACAGCTGTTGTAACATGTCGGTATATACATTTTGTTAAATATAAAACAGCTGTTGTGAGATGTCCACATATTGCTTTATTAAAAAACCGATCGAATATAACTTCAAATTGTATTTTAAATTCAAACAGCTGATCGAACATAACCTCAAATCATCTTAATTTAAACATCTGATCGAATGTAACTGCACATTTCCCTTTAAACGAAACAGCTGTTGTAACATGTCGATACATATATTTTTTAAAATATAAAACAGCTTTTGTGAGATGTCGACAAATTGCTTTATTAAAAAAACCGATCGAATATAACTTCAAATTGTACTTTAAATTCAAACAGCTGATCGAACATAACCTCAAATTATCTTAATTTAAACATCTGATCGAATGTAACCTCACATCTCCCTTTAAATGAAACAGCTGTTGTAACAAGTCGATATTTTGTGTAAAATAAAATAGATGTTGTGAGATCTCGACCCTACAGAATCGACGAAATTGCTGGTCGATTCTGTAGGGAACTATGAAGGTACAATAAGCCAGAAGGCTGCAGTACCTGGTGAGCACAAACCCCCTCTTCCTAGTATCCTCACTACCATCACCATTAATAAATTTGATAGTATTGGCAATTGTTTAATTACCTGATGTAAACTTACATCTTTTGCCCTACAATTTTATTACTGGATAGAGCAGCCAGGGGTCGAACTTATTGTCACCTCTTTTGATAATGTGTACATGTACACATTACTTCAAGTACTGCCATTTTTTTTAGAATGTTAATCAATTTGTAATTCTGTAGGTTAAATGACGTTATTCAATTGCTAAAACAATAGAATTTTGTTGATCACAGAAGTGTATAGAATTAAAGAATTAAAAAAAACCCCAGTATATACCTAAAACAAAAGAATTGATTAAGAGTCAATATTTCAGTTATTTTATTTTTTCTGTCTTGTTCCACACATTGATCCATCACATGTTCCAAGTTTCCAAAACGAATTAATATTAATTCATTAATTTAGGAGGCCATATGAGCCTTACATATATTGTTCACCAAAGGAAGATTGGAAACCAACTGACGGTTCAGTTTTCTGGATGAGGTGAGGTGCTACCAGGCCAGAGGTGCCGTAAGCTCATCATCTATTCCTTTTCCTCTATAAGCATTTTCACGTACACCTTTAATCCAATAAGGAATGAAGGAATTAATCCCAGCTATATAATGTATGTAAAAGACAAATCGTACGGCAACTTTTGGTCCTCCGGGCAGGATAGTGTTTTTTATTTTAAAGAATAAGAAGTTCACAATTTGTATTTCGGAGCCGTGTTAAATGGCAATTGTTTGGTCCTCCGGGTTTCCTTTGTCCCCGCATCCCGCGTTTCTTCGTCCAGGTTAAAAATTTTGAGATGTTTTTCGTCGAATCAGTTTTAATCAAATTTAATTTTTTCGCCATTCCACCCCGGATCTTATTGTTTATTGGCAATGCAGGGTATTTCAGCAGTGGAAATCGGCCTCTATTTTCGAACCTTTGCACCGATCGATGAATGGCTCCGACAGCAGGAAATGGAACCGGTGACTTTATCGCCGGCAAATCTACACGGACGAGGTAGAAAATGTAAAAAATACCCTGGCAAAATATTTACTTTCTTCACGAGAACGTCAGAAAAATTAATGTCTTTTTCACTGCCATTAACGGGCTATAGAATTGATTTTAAAAAAAGGGCTAACATCCGGACGGGTTCACCAGTTTAAAAAAGGTCATGTACGACCGTGGAATGTCTGACGTCAATATTTTCTACTATTCGGATCGAAGCCGTATCAGGCAGAACATTTCGCGGTCTTAAACAGTCGAAGCCCTTCACTTTCTGGACCTCCGGACCGGATATGCCCTCGGGAGCCGTACGTTGAACCAAAAGATTTTTTACGATGGTCTGGCCAAAGAAAAATCGTCGAAGTAGCAGTAGTACTGATTTGTCGTAATATAATCTGACTGGTTATGAATTTCTACGGCCAAAGGAAAACCACCAACGAAACCTCAGTGTTCAGCTTTATAATATGCAAGTAATATGACTTGCTATGTCCGAGGTCTATTAGCATAGTATTATATCATTGAATCCGATATTTTCTGCCTAGTCCAATCACAGTATTAATTGCTGATACTGTGATCGGACTATACTATAAAATTTTGGTCCTCCCGGCCGGATTAAGAAACTCCAATATATTTCAAACTTTTCAATCGATTTTGAAGCAACAAAGTATCTCTTGACGTCTAAATCATAAAACCGCGTATTCGGAAACAGTAGTCGTATTAGATTTGATTGTATTTTACTTGATTTCACATCATGTTTATAAACTTAATTTTAGGATTACGACCTCAGGCTGTAGGCAAAATCAGCGTTTTCCCACAGTCGGAGACGAAATACGTTATTTTTCAGCATAAAAGGGAAGAAATGCGTCCCTTTTGGAAAATTTAACGCTGAAAAGCCTAATTTTCCTAGCTGCCAAATTAGACAAACGCTGGTTAATTTTTTTACGATTCTTTTGGTCCTTTTGGAAAATCCGCCTTTTCTGAATAGAAAAAACAAAACAATTTTCCTCAGAAAAACTATAATAATTCGCTTAGGAAAAACCCTTGTAGGCAATGATTTACCAACAAAAAAAGCACCCCTTGTCGAACAAACGCCCCAAGTGGGAAAATTCGGATTCCAGCCTGGAAAACTAATTTCCCCCACTGTCACATAGAACTGATAAAAAAATGTTGACATTTCCGATAGAAT